CCGGGAGCGGCGCTTACCCATTGTTTACAACTGAATCGTGGTCGATACCGCCGGCTGAGTAGTCCTCTACTTCAACCTACCCACCAAGTTACCGTTTCATATACATATACAAAGGAGATGTAGAATAGAACTGGGTTTCCCATATCTCTACCCTTATCGTAGTCACAAAGTTTTGCGGAAAACAGACCTACAAACCGAGCAAACCGATAAACACACAAACCGACACCGAGTTACTGCTTTATAAATAAGAAAATTAGTTTTTATCAATTCCTATCTCCCAATGCCGCATTCTTCCAATCAGCATCGATCCTATTAGATAATTTCTACTATTCACTATGTGAGGCTGTAGCATCGGAGCGACCAAAGGCTCTGACGCCACCTGACTTTTAGGGTGCATTACAGTGCATAGTACAAATTTGTTACAAGCAGTTTATGCACAAGCATCTGTTACGTACGTCTAGCATCCCCTATGGGTCATCCGAATACCTTAATCCTAACCATTGTAACCTCAGCAACAGACTGACGTGGAACGGCTTCAAAGCTCAGCCCTATCGACTGCGTAATCGAACGAGGTCTTAAAAGAACTCGAGTTGGTTTTAGGACGGAAAGGGCGTGCAGAGACCTTGCCCTAGTTTTGTGTTGAGCATGCGGCTCGAACTGTAGCAGCTTGTCGTGATGTCATGAGAACGATTCGGGTGCACACCTCAGAAGTCTACAACGGCTCCATACTCATAGCTTGACGAGTTGTAGAGAAGTATAGAGAAAAGCGTAGACAGCGCTACCTGAGTTTTGGCGACCTCGAAAAAGCATTCGACCCACTACCAGCCCTTGCACCGAAACACTTCAAAAAGTCCGATATCTGGAAAACGACGTTGCAGCTGATTAAAGCATGGAACAGGCTCGAAAGGCTCAGATATACGCGGCATGGGAAGCGGGAAGAGTTCTATGGCCTTCTTTGCGACCAACTGCGTTTCAGGAAGCTTAAAAGAAACTTATTCTGTACAGCAAGTGGAAATGGATATGCTGAGATGGGATTGCTGTTAGACAAAATTGGATCGGGTTAGACACACAGACGTCAGGACAGTTACTCAAGCAGCCGCTGTCCAGCTGTACATAACCAGCGCCTGCATATAGATACGGATATGGTATGGACACGTTCTTCGAAAGGCATATTTCACTCATGCCACTCGATAAGCGAAGCAATAGGGTTAACAATTCAAGGGAAGCGATCACGAAATGCTTTCAAAAAAAGGCGAGAGGAATGGCTTCGTGGAAACCCACGTGACGAGAGAAGATGCGGCAGATAGGAGGTATTTGATAGATTGGATGCCGTTAGGGAGGAATACGAAATGCATCAGGAGTATGGCACATCGAACCTCCGTTGAAGGATGAGACTCTAAATGCTGTGATGGAAGTATGGTGGTGGATTGATGAGGAAAAGAATTCCGCTTGTGGGATGTGTTCACGCATTCAAATTCCAAGGAGGTCGCTTTGGCGATCCGTAGGCGTGTCAAAAAATCACACGAACTGCAAGATCTGTCTTGGTGTGTCCTATACCTTGATTTGCAAGGGCCTGCCGATATACAGTAGCGCTCAAAGGTATTTGCCGTAACTTTTTTCCCAGTGGAGCAAATTATATGAAATTTTGATATGT